TTAGCCCAGAGTACACTCCCTCCTCATTCACCGACTGTGGTGACTTTTAGTGTCCCCGCAGGCTTGTGTGTAGAGCTTGGTGCCGTTGTGGTGCGATTTCCAAAGGTTCTAGAAACTTCAGGAGGTGGGGCCGATCTGGAGGAGCGGGGATGCCCCGTTGAGGATCTTGCCTGGGCCGGGGGTGCAGGTCTCCTCTGAGCTTCCTGTCCATCACAAAGTAAATAACTTACCCCACATACTACTGTCATCCTGATGCTCTGTCCAGGTGCAGTGACCCAGCAAGCATCCAGTGAACCCACAGCAACTATGAGCCGAAATAAATCTTTTCCCTTTAAGTTGGGGTCGCAGTGGCACAAAGCTAACCCATATGTGGTCCTGCCAAATATCGCCTAGTATTTATTGTCAGGGTTTGGGATGTTATGTTATGCTACCTAGGTCTCTCCACAAGACTGAGGTCCTGGTGAGCCTCACCTGTGTCCTCCCATGGCCATCGCCTTCAAACAATTGCTGCCCAGTGCCAAAAAGGTATCTTTCATAGTTTCCATTCTTATGTTTGCTTTATTTTTCAACACAGGGTTTCTCTATGTAGCCCTGGCTGTCCTGGAACTAGCTCATGTAGACCAGGCTGGCCTGGGGCTAGCCACTGCCTCCCAAATGCTGGATTAAAGGTGTGCGCCACCACTGCCCGGCTCATAGTTTCCATTCTTGTCGACACAGCAACTCATCTTAACTGGAATTAGTGGTTATTTCAGGGGTGGTTCTCTCTTGCAAGGGCAATAAGTAGTACATTCTGCATTTGTGCACCATCACAATGCGTCCGTGTTGCTTTTCTTGTTTTGTGACAATGTACCTGACAAAAGAAACTTAAGGGCTTATTTTGGCACACGATTTGAGGGTACAGCCTCCATTTTGGTGGATAAACCATGGCAGACAAAGTATGAAGCAGCTTGGCGCATTGCATCCTGAGGAGTCAGGGAAAGGCTGATGTGCATCTTACTCTCGTCTTCTTTTTCCTTTATATTTAATCCAGTCCCTCCTCCATGTGTTATGGCCACCACATTCCTCATGGGTTTTCCCTACTCAGCTAAACCTTTCAGGAAACAATCTCAAAGACATGCCTGGAAGAGGTATGTCTCCTAGGTGACTCCAAATCCTGTCAAATAGTGAAGATGAACCATTTCGCCTAGGATCTCTCAGTGGGTGAAGTTTACAAAATACAGGATAGCAGTGAGTCAGTCAGCGTTCTGGATGTTCAGAACCCCTGAGAGACTTCATGGCAGTGATGAGGAAACCGAGACAGGTTGTGTTTGTATAGGCCATAGGTGGTAACCCTGTCAGACATCTCCCTTTCCGTGTCCTTTCTGTGTGCTTCTTCCCCCACTTTCTTTGTAGATTTTGTGAATTCTTCCTCTTTGACCTTCTTAAACTCACCTTCAGCAGGGTGAACCTTTTAGCTTTCCTCATACCCCAAAGAAGTACTTTAGGCATTGAGGAGTCTCTGGGTATGGCAGGCAAAGAGTCAACTGCTCTGTCCCAGCCCTATCTACACAAAACAACAAGGCATAATTCAAGAAGCATCAGGGGGGCCGTAGGTCAGAGGACAGAGGGCACAGACATGACAATAGAAGCAGAAAAGATGAGTAGAACCTGCATGGAGAGCTTAAACCAAGGTGACTTGGACATCAGACTCTTAGGAACCCAGCCAAACCAGGAGGAACCCTCAGGTTGCAAGAAAGGAGCTTGATCTAACGCAGCCACTGTACACCAGTCGTGGGTCTCTGTGAACAATCTCCAAAGGCAATTATGTCAGCCCATCAGACTGGCGAAGGCGCCAAGAACAGAGCAGGCTCTTAGAGGCCGTCACAGCCAAGTGAATTGGTCAAATAATCACAACATAGATTTTATCTGGGTCAACCATTTTCCAGTAACTGAACCATGAGAGAGCTTACATTTCTAATGTCAAGGTCCTTATCCCCAGAACTTCAGTGGCAGTTGAGCAACAAAGGAGAAATTGTCACTAGAGGGAGAGAAAAAGCACTCCTGAGAGATTGGCCACTCTAATTGTATTTCTCATTGCATTTCACATAATCCCATGGTGCTCCAAACTTGTCCTGTGGTGCCAATATGTTGAAGAACTAGGGTGTTTTTTTCATCCTTTATTAATGAAAATGATTCCATTCCTTCTCATCAGTGTGTATGAATGGCTCCAACTCTGGAAAGATATTATCCAAATACCACTGAAATGACTTGCAACCCAGTCGCTTCCTTAATGCAACGCGCTCGCTAATGTTTCCATAGGGTTCATATTTCAAATAAGGTCTTCGAAGAAAAAAATTATCCTAAATGAAAACAAAGAGTCATTTTATTAAACCAACAACAAATTTTTTTGGTAATCAGGTCATGATAGCAAACATCAAGGCATGTTTTCATCACTGGAACTAAAAATGCCCTTTCCTCTTGTTGTACAGCAGTTTCCTGTGAGATTAAAACCTTCCGTCTTCTAGGAAAGCCTGGTAAAACAGGATGTTGAAGTGAGGTAATATTTTAAGATGAGTTTTTAAAAGGGTGTCTAAGGAGAAGTAAAGGCTCATTAAGCCCATGAAATAAACAATCCAATGGCTTCAGGAAGTCCCTGAAAATGACCAGATACACAAGGCCTCTCCATCCTCAAGCACTGAGGCTCTCAGGTAAGCTGAGCTTCCTAGGAGAGGCTCAAACCAGCTGAAAAGCCTGGTAGAAGCAGAGATCAGCCCAGCTTCCTGGAAGAAGGCGAGAACAGCAAACTGCTGAACTCCCTGGAAAAGTCTCTCTTCAACAGTTTAAGGTCCCTGGAGGCTATGCAGCATGCTCTAGGTTCCTAGCTTTCACAAGCTGTCACTCATGCTGGGATGGACTTTATAAAAATTAACTTTTCATATATACATGTGTCAGTGTGAGGGTTTGTACATCTGAGTACATTACCTGTAGAGCCCAGATGAAGGTGTCACATCCCCGGGTGCTATATTACAGACAGTTATGAGCTGCCTGATGTGGGTGCAGGGAAATGAACTTAGGACTTCCGGAAAGGACTACTGAGCCATTCTCCAGGCCCAGAGAGTGAGCTTTTTGGTGATTCTGTTATCCTTAAATCATTTCTGCTCCTATAAGTAACCTCCCTCACCCATATTTCTGTAAGGATACCCAATAAAACTCATTTGTTCGGGCTGGAGAGATGGCTCAAAGGCTAAGAGCACTGGCTGCTCTTCCAGGTGTCCTGAGTTCAATTCCTAGCAACTATGTGGTGGCTCACAACCATCTGTAATGAGATACGGTGCCCTCTTCTGCCCTGCAGGCATACATCAGACGGAACACTATACATAATAAATAAATAAATAAATAAATAAATAAATAAATAAATAAATAAATTTTTTTTTAAAAAATAAACTTATTTGTTCAAGTTGGACTTTGGTGATACAACATACTTTGTTGTTGTTTTGTTGTTGTTGTTGTTGTTTTGAGACAGGATTTCTCTGTGTAGCTTTGGAGCCTGTCCTGGAAGTAGATCTTGTAGACCAGGCTGGTCTTGAACTCAGAGATACACATACTTTTATCTGTCATTGGTTCCCTATCTGGGGAGATTGAGGTAGCAGGATCACAAGTTCAAGGCCAAACTGTACTACATAGAGAAATCCTGTCTAAAAGAATTACAGAAAAGAAAGAAATACGCGAGGTGGTGGTGGCACATGCCTTTAATCCCAGAACTCGGGAGACAGAGGCAGGCAGATCTCTGTGAGTTTGTGGCCAGCCTGATCTATAGAGTGAGTTCCAGGCAGGCTTCAAAGCTACACAGAAAAACCTTGTCTCAAAAAATAAAAAAATAAAAAAGAGCAAACAAGTATCTTCTAATGTGCATATGTATTAACCAGCAACCACAACAAATAACTCAATGATCACTTTGGGAACAATAGGCTGTTAGTTTTATTAATTTATTTATTTTTAATGATTTATTTATTTCATGTGTGTACATTGAATGTATATATGTATACCATGTGCTCATAGGAGGGTAGAGGTGCCCTCAGAGGCTAGAAGAGGACACTGATTCCCCTGGGGCTGGAATTAGGCTGTGAGCCACCCTCTGGGTACTTAGAATTGAACCCAGGTCCTTTGGAAGAGCAGCAAGTACTCAACTCCTGAGCTGTCTTTCCAGCCCTTTGATCTTTTATTTTATAAATGCATGTGTCTCTTTGATCGCATGCCATGTATTCAGGTGCCTGTGGTGGCCAGAAAAGAGTTTTGAATTCCCTGGAGCTAGATTTACAAGCAGTCTTAACCCACCCCATATGGATAATGGGAATAGAACTTTGGTTTTCTATAAGAACACAACCATCTGTTAGTGTCTGTCTGGCCTTTAGAGTGTTAATTTTGTACTCCTGAAGATCATATGAATTTTTAAAATAAGCATGCTTTACCCTTAACTTTTTAAAACCTGGGCATGTTGGCACCAGTTGTAATCCCAGCACTTAGGAAGCTGAGTCTGAAGGATTAGTGTAAGTTCAAGACCAGCCTATCCTACTAGGAAAGCCAGGATATATAGCAATACCTGGTCTCAAAGAAAGTAATGATATTCATTAAAGACAATATAATAAAAATGCAAAAGGACATAAAATATAAATGTTTAACTTGCTTAATTATCAGCACATCAGCTCCAGCAACCTTGTTTAAGAGGTGAACATGACTGGCATCCCAGAGCTGTCTTAATTATGTCCTTTTATTATTTTCTTGCTCTGACTTAACTTTTAAATTTACTTTATCAGGGCTGGAGAGATGGCTCAGAGGTAAAGAGTACTGACTGCTCTTCCAGAGGACTTGGGTTCAATTCCTAGCACCCACATGGCAGTTAACAACTGTCTGTAACTCCAAGATCTGACACCCTGCCACAGACATGCATGAAGGTAAAACACCAATGCAAAGAAAATAGAAATAAATAACTTTAAAAAATTTACTTTATGTATATGGATGTTTTGCCTTCATGTATGTCTATGCACCAACATACATGCCTGATGCCTGCAGAGACAAGCCACCATGTGGGTGGCTTGATCTCAAGTCCTCTGCAAGAGCAACAAATGCTCTTAACCACTGTGGTGGCTATTCTTGGTTGTCAACTTGACTACATCTGGAATTAACTAAAACCCAAGTGGCTGGGTTCACCTGTGAGGGATTTTTTTCCCTCACAGGAAAAAAAGTAGGAAGACCCACTTTTATCCAGGTCTTTTGAGGTGGGAAGATGCAATTTTAATTCAGATCTTCTGAGGTGGGAAGACCGACATTTAATGAGCTATGCCTTCTGCTGGCAGCCTATATAAAGGACATGGAAGAAGCTTGAAACATGCTCTTGCTGGCAAGTCCATTCATTTACTGGCATTAGAGCCTACTTCTTCAGGATTCTAGCATATACTGAAGACCAGCTGAGCCACCCAGCCTAGTGGAATGAATAACTAACTACTGGATTCTTGGATCTTCTGTTAGTAGACAGTCAATGTTGGACTAGCTGGACCACAGCCTGTAAGTCATTCTAATAAATTTCGTATATGCACTATCATTCAGTTCCTCTAGAGAACCCTGAGAAATACAACTTCGAAGGCATCTCTCTAGCCTCTCCACCTTTTTTTTTGAAAGAGGGTTTCAATTGTGTAGTCATAACAGGCCTAGTACTCACTATGTAGACCAGGCTGGCCTGGAACTCATAGAAATCCATCTTCCTCTGCCTCTCAAGTACTAATCTCAAAGTTCAATCTTGCTCACTTTTAATTTCATAGCAAGAGAATACAATATGTATTATTTATTCATCATTATACCTTTCATATACACCAGTAGTGGTAATCACTATATGTATCTATAGCTTATGAGTTTGCAGTGCTGTATAGAATTATAGCTACTAATAAATCACATATATCCATTATCTTCTTTTTCCTTGTTTTTAAAGATTTTTCTTTTCTTTTTCTAAGACAGGATTCTCATTTTGTAGCTCCAGCTGGCCTTGAACCCACAGAGATCTGCCTCTGCTCTTGAGTGCTAAAGGTGTGTACCACCATGCCAGGACATTTATTTTAATTACGTATTTGTGTCTTTGTGGAGGTGTGTATACCTGAGTTCAAGCACCTGAAGAGACTAGAAGTGAGGACATATTCCCTGGATCTGGACATAGCAATGGCTATGAGTTACCTGGATATGGGTACTGAGAACTGAACTCAGGTCTTCTACTAGAGCAGCATATGCTCTTACTCAGCCATCTCTTTAGCTCCATCATTCTACTCTGTTTTTGAGATAGAGTCTTACTAAGTTGCCTTGGCAGGCTTGAACTTGCCATCCTTGTGCCTCAGCAGGAATTCCCCAACCGTGTCCTGATTATAAAAGAAATCTCATTTTTAATTTTGTAATCAAAAAGCTTGAACTATATAGAAACTGCTGGGCTTTTTTTTTCCTGGTTACCATAACACAAATTGGAGTTGCCTGGGAAGAGAGACTCCAAACAGGAATTGCCTCCATCAGAACGGCATGTGGAGTATTTTCTTGAGTACTGTTATAGGAAGGTCCAGCCTACTGTGGGTGGTGCCATCCCTGGGCAGGTGGTCCTGAGTTGTTCAAGGAAGCATGTTGAAGAAGCCTTGGAGAAGAAGCTAATAAGAAGTTTTCCTCTGTGGTCTCTGCTTGAGTTTCTGCCTCGGTATCTCTAGATAATGATCTATGATGTGGAAGTATAAGGGAAATAACTCTTTGCAAATTGCTTTTGGCCAGTGTTTTATCACAGCAACAGAAAAGCAAACTAGGAAAGAAACATAAGATACACTACACTATGCATTTGTCTTAGAGGAGGCCTGTCTTTATTTCTTTATGCATGGCATCTGGAAAGAGATTTGCCCTTGGAAAACAGGGTGTAACCCTTGGGAATATATATAAATCAAGGGGCAAACCTTTCAAATAGAAATCTTTGACTGTTGATAGAAAAGGAATTCACAAGACCTACACCTGCCACATCTCCCAGTAAACACATAGTGGCTTGTTACGAAAACCTGAAGAAATCAGCTCCTGATGCTGCAGCAGGGAGGGGAAGAGTAATTCCTCAATGAATAAATAGATATGGTCTTAAGGAAAGACTCTGCAGGTTGATTTACTTCTGAGAAACTTGAGTTTTCCTAAAATTCAAACTTAAAAAATCAGTTGCAACAACAGCTACTTGGGGTTTAACCAGTTGAGAGAAGATCTGGTAATGAGTGGGTGAGAAATTGAAGGGGTTCCATTGATTTACAAAAAACAGGGAAGAGTACAGTTTAGATAACAGGGAAGAGTATAGTTTAGATCTGGAAAACGGCCGAGACTTGAGAACAACCCAGAATCTGATCTCCCCAATCAGAGGTATCACTCACCTTGTGTTCATCCAACCAGACGTGAGCCACTCGAAGTAAGTTCCATGACAAGGCTTTGAGTGCAGCATTATTGAAATTCTGTATTTTAGCGATATGTCCAACCCGAGAGCAAGGAAGTATAAAGAGTTGGCCTCCACACATCCAAATCTAGATAAGATCATAATTATTTTACTAGTAACTGGCAACTGCTTTAGAACACACATGACCACACACACACATACACACACACACACACACACACACACACACACACACACACACAAATATTTGTTTGTCTGACTGCTTATTGAGATATATAGCCCAGGTTAGCCTCAAACCCAATCTCTGGGACTCACATTGAGTTTCTGATCCTCCTGCCTCTACCTTCATAGTGCTGGTATTATGCACTGTTAGCTTTCAATCTAGGACTTTGTTCATACTAGGCAAGCATTCTACCAGCTGAGCTATACTGCTAGTCCTAATATCTAATGTATTCCATTTATTTTTATTTATTTAACAAAGTTCATAAACTCATCAGTCTTATAGTGTAGGTGCTATGACCACCCCTCCACCATTTACAGATTTAAAAAAATACAATTTAAGAAATTTGCCCAGTGATATGGAACAATTGAAGGGCTGAGCTCAGACTCAAATTTAGGAAGTCTAGTCTGAGAACTTGAGTTCTGAATGGCAAATTATTCTCTTTCTTTCCTGTTGCATGTTGTCAGGTATAAGCAATACCAAGAGAAAGACAAGTTCTGACTTGGTTCAGTTACTTGTAGTTTATACGTAAAATACTGCATGGAAGCAAGATATGGTCATTGAAAAGTGTCAAATATAGGGAAATGTACACCCTAACACCTGGGTTTAGTCCATAGAATTCAAGTATATGTGTGGACATGCAAAAATATACATTAAAATAACTTACTATATTCATGTGAGTTATGCAAAATTGTTTCTAGCCTTTAGGTCTTGGGCTAGAAATATGGCTCAATGGGTTAAAAGCAATTCCCTACAAGAACAAGGACCTGAGTTGGACTCCCACAAAAAGCTGGTCATGACTGCACACACCTGCAACCCCAGTGCTGGAGGGGTTGGAAGATGAAGACGGGAGAAAAATAGTGAACTTCAGATTCAGAGAGAGATCTGTCACAAAGGAATAAAGGTGAAGCATGATAGAGGAGGACACCTGACATCCCCCCGTTTTCTGAATGCATATACATGGACCTGCACACATATGTAGGTATATACACTTATACATACACATCAAAAATAAAAGTCTTGTTTAGGAAGTTTAGGAATTTCCATTTCATCACTGTAAATGACAACGTAGAGGGTCTGGTAAGATGGTTTAGTGAGTCCTTGCCACCAAGTCTGACCACCTGAGTTTGATCCTAGGACCCCAAAAAGGAGGGTGGGAACTGACTCTTGTAGGTTGTTCTCTGACCTCAGTACACATGCTGTGCCAATACATGCCTCCATGTACACACTCACACAAATTAATCTTCAAAAAATTTGCATCTATTTATTTGGGGGTGGTGTACATGCCACAGTGTGCATGTGGTGGTCAGGGAACAACTGTGAAGGACTTGGTTCTCCTGCCATGTGGATATCAGGAATCTTACTTGGGTCATCAAGTTTAGTAGCAAATGCCTTAACCCACTGAACTACCTCACCAGCCCCCGTATGGTATATTTTCTGGAGCCACTCTTTTTTCTGGACTCCAGTAACACCAACATTGCCTGGAAACTTCGATAAAATGAAAACCCGTGGGCCACTGACACCTGCTGACCCAGAAACTGTGGTTTGAGTCAAACCTGCACTTTCATGGGTTCTTCATATGATTCCAGTGCACACTCAGATTTTATGACCCTCTGTTGGCAGATACTTTTCTGGGTAAGTTCACTTAATCGTTTATAAAACAGTAATGGGAAGTTAAGATCTTCACTGAAACACACTGTGTGGGATTGAGAATATGGCTCAATTGATATAGTGTTTCTCTGGCATACTCAAAGTCCTGGGTTCAACCCCCAGCTCTGTATTCACCACTGGCCATGGTGGTCCACAACTGCAGGTCCACAACTGCAAGTTCAGCACTCAGGTGGTGGAAATAGCGTCAGAAGTTCAAGGTCATTTTTGACTAAATATGAAGTTCAAGGCCACCCTGGTTACAGGAAATCCTGACTTAGAGAAACTCACAGAAACAATCCTTCAGATTCCTTGTTAAGAAGACACTAAAGAAAAAGCCTTAGCTCATGAGTTCAAACAGTTAGGTTCTTTCATCAGCTTATCCAATGGTTTGGCTGCCTGTGTCCTGCCTGGCTCTCATTTTCACTGGAAATTGAGACCTAAAAGTTGTTGACATAGACTTCTGCTCTATGCTTCATCATATAGCAAAAACTGACAGATAGAAGTGATCTATGCTTCAGTCTCTTTTTAAAGAAAAACTAAGGAAATTTGAAAAGCTGTTAGTTACACTGTTAATATGTTTAACAGTTTTATAATTACCATGAATACTAATTTTTCCATCTTATAAATTATTCTTTATATCTGAGTATTTTGTCTGCATATGTGTCTGTGTAACATATGTGTTATGTGTCTCCTTTAAGAACAAATTTAGAGTGGCACATACATGTCTTGTAATCCATGCCTGGTTTTATGTGGGGTTGGGGTTGAACCCAGGACTTTGAAAATGCTAGGGAAACACTCCACCTAGTGAGCCATATCACTAGGCTGATCACAGATCCCCTTTATCTCTAATGATCATACCCCGCTACTGACAGGATTATAAACTAGAAGATACAGGAAGAGTTGTGGCCACCCCTACATAGACAGTGAGCACAGGAGAGGGTATATCCAGATGGATGTGTCTCCTTTAAGAACAAATCTAGAGTAAACAAGAAGCAGGACTAGGGATGAAGCCAGCTGGAAGGGTGCTTGCCCAGAATGCATGATGCTTGAAAAGTACTTGCAGCTTCCTAGATCTTGACCCCTCTTGTAACTTTTGAGAACATTGTGACCTCTTCAGTGACAGTGAGCCTGGGCCAGCCTGCCTGATAAGTGGCCAAGTGGTTCTCATTGCTCTAGATGTGGCAGTCACATGGCAGAAGACATTATGAATGGGCTCCAGGTGAATACAGAGGCAGCAGCATCTACAGAAATTAGACATTCTAGACAAGACCAGCACTACTGTAGTAACACCAAAAATTGAAGGGAATAATAATTGCTCGTGGTTTTAAGCTACTTTGTTTTGAGGCAGTTTTTTTTCCCACATAAGTTAAAATCTACTGACAAAAATGAACTGATACACAAGACACCACTGCTCTCTTTTTGTTATTGTTCGAGACAGGGTTTCTCTGTGGCTTTGGAGGCTGTCCTGGAACTCGCTCTTGTAGACCAGGCTGGTCTCAAACTCACAGAGGTCCGCCTGCCTCTGCCTCTGCCTCTGCCTCTTCCTCCCGAGTGCTGGGATTAAAGGCATGCGCCACCAATGCCCAACTCAACACCACTGCTCTATGAAAATTAGGTGCAGAAAATGATGACAAACATGGCTGTCTGGTGCTTGTCTTCCCTTAACATGGGTTTCATTTACATCAATTTTACATTGACTTAGTTGTTCATTACACAAACCCAGAGTGACAGCTTCAAATTCTGGTCAGTAAACATCTGCTCACTCCCCTTCTCTCATCTTGGGTCTGAGGATATACTGATTCTGGACTTGTATTTCACAGGCTTTGGCCAAGATAATGCCAGCCCACATCATGACTACAGAAAGTGGAATATGCCACGTGACTTGGCTTGAGTTTAGCCTTCCTGCCATTCAGTGTGAGAAGAACGTGTTCCATATGGCAACTACGCATGAATATAATGCCAGACTGCAACCAAAACCAGAAACTAAAGTCCAACCCAGTCAGCCTCTGCTGAGTCACCCCAGCCACCATGGACATAAACAAGAGAAAGGTATATGTTACTATTTTACACCATTCATCTTTGAGGTACTTTGTTATACAGCATAACTATAGTAATAACTGGTAGATACTGAGGTAATAGCTGCCTAGTTCCTAATATCCTTAGCAATTAAAATTCTAAGCAGATAACACAAGATGAGTAACCCATTGGCTCAGTGGATAGATGGTCCACATAGGAGCAAAGTGTTGGAAATCTGCTGAAACTTCCATCATGTCAATGTATGAGAACGATATAGTAGATATATGGTTTGTTTTCATATCAGATCCCATCCAATGGGCTTAGTGATCTTGAGCAGGATTTAAGCTGCCATCTATATCTAAAGAGGTACAGTTAAACTGGCCCAAGGTGATGTACACCTTTAATCCCAGCACTTGGGAGGCAGAGGCAGGTGGATCTCTGAGTTCAAGGCCAGCCTGGTCTTCAGAGTGACTTTCAGGACAGCCAGAGCTACACAAAGAAACCCTTACTTGAAGGTGAGAACAGGAAATGGGATTCCCTAGGTGTGCATCCTTAAAAGCAGAAGCCAAGGTCTCAGTTTTTGGAGTAGCACACATGGCAGTATGGAGGGATGCCAGAATGGAGAACAGGTACTGGAGTATGGGCAAGCTAAGACTTCAGGTGGTCAAGGCCTGTTGGATGCCAACCAGGATTATTAAGCCACAAGAATCTGAAACTGATTATGGGAACCATTCAGAGGCTGGTGTAAAGCATAGCTGCAGGGCTATCCAGTGAACTATTTCTGTCCCATGATCCATAGCAGCTGCTGAACTTAGCAACCAAAGCAAACTTGGGGCATTGGCAGCTTCTCCAGCACATGTGTGCTAGAACTGACTGAGAGACAGTAGAGGTGTGTCAGCAGGGCCCCAAGACTGGAAAAGGAGGCTCTATGAGAGGCAGGTAGCAGTGGATTTGGAGCATGGTACTTAACTGTTTTTGTGAACTTGGGAAGTAAGTTCTCTGTGTCTTTGTTTTCTCACTAAAAGAAAAAGATGAAAGCAGTACCTACCCTATAGGTCTGTGGGGATTAAGTGAGTTCATGTCTGTAAACTTTCCCAGCAGTGTGAGTTGGGCATAAGAACCTGTCCAATAAACCACAAATACTAGTGCTTTACATTTTAAGCGCTACTACTTCAGGAGGGTTGTGTATGACACCTCAAAAAAAGGCTCAGTTCTATATGACCATACAGTACTGTGTGTCTCTCTACTGTGTTTATCAAAAGTAAGATTAAATAACTGGTACCCTGATAGATGGAAGGTCATGACGTCAGAAGTTACTTTTACACTGTGTACTGCTAGCAGTATTGTAACACTGTCCTCTGTCCTTATGATGGTTAATTTGGTTGTGAACTTGGCAGGATCTTAATTGGCCAGGAGACAAATGTGGGCATGTCTGTCAGGGGAGTTTCTAAATTGGCCTCATTGAGGTAGAAAAACCCCCATTAATGTGGGCAGCACCATTCCATGGAATGGGGTCCTGAACAGCATAGAAAAAAAGAATGTGTGCCGAGCAACAGCTTTCATCTCTCTGCTTTCTGAGTATGGCTACAAGGTGACCAGCCCTACAAATTCTTCCTTCCCCACCATGATGAAATGGTGTTCTCAAACCATGAGCCTAAATGAACCCTTGTTAAGTTGCTTTCATCATGTAGCCAAGTATTTTGTCATAGGATGGGAAATGTAACTAATATTATCCTCAGGTTCTAAGGGAACATTGCTGCATGAATGAAAAAGAGGAGCAGTATCATCTGAATGCTTGGCCTGCAGCATGGCTTGACTGGGAAGATGAATTGAATTGAACTTGGATAGATCCCTTAAGAGGTAGTCTCCAGATGACTGCAGATTGCTTTGTGTCATTAGATATGTGTCAGCCGCAGCAGCCATTTGGAGGCATGATCTTTTAGTTTGTTGTTTAAGTTTTTCAAGATAGGGTTTCTCTGTGTAGTCCTAGCTGTCCTGGAACTCGCTCTGTAGAACAGGTGAACCTTAAACTCACAGAGATCCAACTGACTCTGCCTCTTGAGTACTGAGATTAAAGGCATGGTGGTACATGCCAAGTTTAAAATTTTTATTTTGTTTTCAATGGCCAGTGTCAAGAGAGTATTTAAGCTGGGCGTTGGTGGCGCACGCTTTAATCCCAGCACTCGGGAGGCAGAGGTGGGCAGATCTTTGTGAGTTCGAGGCCAGCCTGGTCTACAGTGCGAGTGCCAGGATAGGCTCCAAAGCTACACAGAGAAACCCTGTCTCAAAAGACGAGAGAGAGAGAGAGAGAGAGAGAGAGAGAGAGAGAGAGAGAGAGAGAAAAAAAAATATCACTAGTTACTAATTCACATGCTTGTTTGTATAAAAAGAGAGCCAAATATACTTCAGAGAGTCAAAGCAGCCATTGAGGATAGAATCATTGGGAATGATTCATGTGAACAGGAAGTTAACTGTCATTTGCTGTCTGTGAGGATTGTAGAACCAGAAACGGAACACATTTTCCTTTCATTTCATTTTAAGTTTTATTGAGAGAGAGACCATACATGCCTGTGCATGTGCATGTCTACATGAACATATATGGTGGATGGCCCAGCTCACATGTCCACATGAACATATATGGTGAATGGCCCAGCTTACATGAAGAGGTCAGAGGACAACTTTTGGAAGTTGGTTCTTTCCTTTCACTGTGGGGTTCCCTGGTGTTGAGCTGAGATCCTCAGACTTGGCAGCTGGCAGCAGGTACTTTTACCCACAGAACCATTTCAATGGCCCCAACACTTGCTTTCCAAAAACACATACCTTCACAAAAGTAGTTCTACTCAGATAATAGAATGTGCTTATAGTTAAGTCCTAAGAGAGGAAAATTTATTGGGCAATATTCTTAGAGCACAATGTAATAAAACAAGGGATCTCCAACCAAATATAATAAAAAGAGCCAGAGGCCTGGATATTATAAAATACTACCTAGGTCAGAAGGGAATACGTGAATGGGGGAGGGGTAATGAAAGTAACAAATGTGTAAGGCGATTGCAAGCAGGAGCTTGAAGGAGAAGACATTGCTGAGATACCCGTGTGTGCACAATAAGACTATGAAGCCTGTGCTGAAAAGGACAAAAGTGAATAAAGAATAAAATGAGACTGGTGAGAGGGCTCAGTCAATAAAGTACTTGCCACGTAAGTATGAGGACCAGTGTTTGATCCCCAGAACCCACTTTAAAAAAGAAGAACCTGGATGTGGTGGTGCACACGTATAATCCCAATACTGGGGAGGCAGAGATTGGAGGGTTCCTAGGGCTTTCTGACTGTTCTGGGCCAGTGAGAGACTTTCTCAAAAAGTAAGGCAGTGAGACCTGAGGAATGATACCTGAGAGTGACCTCTGGTCTCTTCATGCATACAGTGACTAAAATGACCAGCTACCAGGGAGAAAGAAGGAAGGGAGGAAGAGAGAGGAAGCGGAGGAGGGAAGGGAGGTAAGAGGAAATAAAATCCAAAACAGGGAAGGGGTATAACTATCAAGACAATTAGAGAACCCACATAGTTTTAAAGTACCTTATTAGTTTATTGCACCATACTTTGAAGACAACAAAGCACATGGCCAGGGGCTGAAATGCCCTACCAAGTGTCTCCCAGGCGCCCCTTCAACTGTTGTATGCCCTTGCATGTGTCACCAGACACAGTACAACCAGATGAAGAGTCAGATCTCACTCTCGCTCAGGGTTAGGCGCTGGCCCAGTAGGCTCCTAATGGGTTCCATTCACCACAGCAAGCTGAAACATCAGCTCTCCTCTAGACAAGCATAGCTATGTGGGGGAAACAGAACAGAACAAAACAAAAGGAAGCTGACTTACTCTTAGTGAAAGTTCCACATTTTCTCCTCCCCAAAGATCCATGTCCTTGTCATATTGTCCGAGTTCTGTAAAATAATGTCTGTCTATAGCAAAAATTCCTCCTGCCATTGCAGGTGACCTAGAAAGGGGTAAAACATATTAAAGTAAATCCCAGAGAGTGATCTCCAATTTTTCTAAAATCATATGAAATGCTACTGTTGGCTCAGTGGTTAAAAGTGCTCACTGCTCTTGCAGAGGACTTGTTTGGTTCTCAACACCCAGGCCAGGCTGCTCACAATGACCTGTCACACAGGCTCCAGGGGATCTAGCACTCTCATCTGACCTTTGTGCTTTTGTAGCCACCATTCCACTCTGCTTTTCTAGGAAATCCACTTTTTTTGAATTCCATTTTTGTGAAATGGTGTGGCACCTCTCTGTGACTGTTTCATTTCAGGCAGCATAATGGCCTCTAGATTCACTCATGTTGTTTACAAATGATGGGATTTTATCTTTTGTTGGCTGAACATTATTCCCCCATGTATATGCCCTACATTTTCATTATCCATTCAGCTGTAATAGACCCATTGATTCATGGATGTTGTTAGTGCCAGAGCAAGAATGAAAGTACACAGGTTTCTTCCACACACCGATTTCATTTCCTCTAGCATATTCACAGTGGTGGATTGCTGGGCCATAGAGGTTATTTTACTTTTAATTTTTTTAAGTGAGAAGTTTTATTAGAAAGGGGAGGGAGGAGGTAGGGGGAGGAAAGAGAAAATAGGTAAAGAGACACAGAGATAGAGACAGAGAGAAGACAGAAGGGAAGAGGGAGACAGGAAAAGTCCTGTCTGCCCCAGGAGAACCGCAGGAAAGAGAGTGAGAAAGAGAGCGGGAAAGAGAGCAGAAAGAGAGTGGGAAAGAGCTCTTTTAATTTTTGAAGACCCATGATTCTGTTTTCTGCTATCTTGCCTTTTTGGTCATAGAAGACAGACTTTGCTGTCTTAATGGAGTGAACTAGCACCTACTGGGGCTTGGATTTGCATCGTAAATGAGGAAGGGTGCTGAGACCCTTTCATGTACCATTGGCCATTTGTATTTTCTCTTGAAAAATGTGCATTCATGTCTTCTATTTCTAATTGAACTTTTTTTTGTTTGTTGAGTGCCTTATGTATTCTGGACACATAAGGATATACCCCTTATCAGATTATATTTCCAAATACTTTCTACAATTCTGTGAGCCCTCTCTTTGCTTTGTTTGCTTTTAGTTTGATGCAATCTCATCCTCCATTTTTACTTTTATGGCCTGTGCTTTTCAGTGTCTTAGTCATCAAATCTTTGAGAAGCTGAATGTTATAAAGTATGCCCTCAACTGTGGCATTATAATTTTAGGTCTCCATTCACATCAAATTTGCTTTGACTTTTCTATGTGGTAAGAGATAGAATTACTCATTTTAGTTACTTGTGATAAAATACCGTGACAAAAGCAATATAAGGGAAGTTCTACATTCTTGCCTGGCCCGAGACCTAGAACCCTGACTAGGGTCAACAAGAGAATGAAGAACAGGTAGACACATTGACGCAGAAAAGCTGGGATTGGGTGGTCTTTGGTAGCTCTAATGGAGTAGTAGCAACTGCACTCTGGAAGCTTTGTGTTTATTGTAGACAGTTGGACAGTGAGGCAGGATTAGCTAATCTCACTCAGTTGGAACAATTTCTGTGGGGGAACAGTCTTCAGGCCTTAAACTTGGGGCAAGGGGCTGTGGTGAACATTTTTTTTTTTTGCACACACTGTCAATATTCACACTCAGACTTGAGGAAGACTCTGCTATTTCTCTAAGCATCACAATGGGGAAAGGCTTTGGCACTCCCATGGTTGAGGCTTTGGAGTCTTCTTTAACATGGATATGCCTGGCTGGCATGGACAGCATGGTGACCGTGCTGCTTGACAGAGTTTCAGCATTTCTTATGCTCGCTCTCTCTCTCTCTCTCTCTCTCTCTCTCTCTCTCTCTCTCTCCTTTTCTTTCCTTTTTTTTTGCAGTTTCTCTGAGTAACAGCCCTGGCTGACCTGGAACTCACAGAGTTCCATCTGCCTCTGCCTCTGCCTCTTCCTCCTGAGTGCTGGGATGAAATGTATACCCACTGCCTAGCTTTACTTTCATTTTTAATGACTCTCAATATTAATGCCTTTTCCTTTTGGAAATCTTGTGCAGGCTTTGGTAAAGGATAAAAATGTATACACTGGTAGCCTCTTTAAACAAAATAATTCTTTGGAAAAGTATCCCGGCCACCATTCCAGGAATTCCATTGTGCTGTCCCAATTACACCAAGACCAGGTAAGTTAGAGATTTACTAGACACACCTGATCCCAAGGATGAAATGCCTACAATTCAGATCCAGAGCCTGGGGCCATTAAAGGCAAGAGTTGAGTTAATAAATACAGAGAAATCAGAATGGCACAGTATAGAGAGAAAAGAGTGAGACATCAGGACCTTCCCTTTGGGAGCCTTATTGAGAGGAGCAGGCCCATAGATAAGACAATGTAGTATAGTGTCTGCTCCCCAGAAGAAGTCCTTTCCCAAGGTCAGGCATTTGGATAAGGGTCTCCATTCCCCCAGGGGCTTGAGGAAAGTTCCTGCTTGATAAAGCAGTGGTTCTTCTTATCTCTGAGCAATTTATGGCCCTTCATTAACATATGGCTTCTGCCTATTGTCAAGGTCAAGGCTGGATTCCTCAATCCCTGATAACAAGCCACACCCCAGCTCACATGACCCAATATAAACAAACAAGCAAATTTTTTTCAATTTTTTTTCATTTATACACTGCTGGCAGCTATCCCAATTCACCCTCAGATTGTGTCGGTCTCCTCCTTCCCCGCCTCCTCACGCTGTCTCCACACATCTTCTTTGAGACCTGAACATCACCCCCACCCCCACCCTCACCTAAGCAGGTCTCCAGTATCTGTCCATGTCAGCGATGGACACTCACTCAGGACTTTCACTCACTCCCTATGGGGAGAAAGGGTTCCTCCTCAAGGATATAGTCCATTGTGGTGGGCAGTCAAGAAAGAGGGAAGCTAAAGGAGCTAGTCACGTTATATCCACAGTCAACACACAGAGTACTTGGTTCCCTTTTGCCACTCTTGGTTTCTTTGTTTTGTTTTTTGGGGTTTGTTTTGTTTTGTTTTGTGTTTTAGACAACCTCTCTATGTGCAGTAGGCTGACCTGGAACCCGTGGAGATCTGTCTACCTTTCCCTTCTAAGTGCTGCCAGTTAGAAGTCATCACAGTAATCATGGAGAGAAACGATGAGTGGTGATTGTACCCAGGCCAAGGGAGTAATGATGATGACAGAAAACAAGTTGTCCAGTTACTGGTTTAGCTTGAAGATGGACCTAATAGATGAACAGGACAAGAATAAGTGACGATGACAGGAATCTAGGTTGATACTAGGGGTTTTCCACATGGCAGATGGAATTGCTATCCGCAGAGATAAGAAGTCCTGGTTTCATAGGAAGCTGAATGTTCAGGTCAAAGTGAGGCTTGCATTCAGCATCACAGTGGGAGGACAGGCAGGCAACAGGTGCAATTGGATACATGAGCCCCGAGGTCATCAAGGTTGTGGGTGAATTTGGGAGTCATATTAAGTTGCTTTTCTCATTGCTGTGACAAAATGCCTGGCAAAAGCAACATAAGAAGGGTTATTGCAGCTCAAAAAGCAACTTAAGAAGGGTTATTGTAGCTCTCAGGTCCAGGTTGGAGAAATCAGGGTGACAGGAGCGGGAGACTGTGGAGGAGAGGGAATGGTGATGCTCAGCTAGCTTTCTCCTTTGATTCAGTCCAGGGCCCCAGCCCATGGGATGGTTCCAGTCACTACAGAGGTGACTCTCCTTTATAGGCATACCCAGAGGCATGGTGACTCTAGATCCCGTTAAGTTCATAGTCAATAATTTTTAAACATTATTTTGTGTGTGTATATTTAATGTAACAGAGAAAGGAGTTCTAAAGTTGTGCAAGTGCACAACAGCGTGTGCCATGGCAGGCAGGTATATACGAAAGTCACAGGACAACTTGCAGGAGTCGGTTCTTCTTGCACTATGTGGGTCTCAGGAATCAAACCTGTGCTGTCAGGCTTGTTGGAAAGTGTCTTTTCTCGCTGAGTCAGCTTGCTGCCCTCACCAATAAAAGTATTTAAAAAGCAATTGTGCTATGTGCATAAAGTGTTATGAGCATCTGGAAAAGTGAAGAGTTTCATGCATATGGGTGACACACAGGAGTCAGAGATGGACACTGATGGCAGATAGACTCTAGTGACAGAGCTTCCAAGCCTAGCAGGCCTGGCAGGGACTTCAAGTCCAGGACCTTAATCAAGTTTGAAATCAATATTAACTATTGCAGGAGTCATCAGTGAAAGATGGATTAAGAAACAGTCTGGGGGCAAGGCAGAGGTAGAGTGGGGAACAAGGGCTAGGTCCTGGGTACTTCAAGGTGAAAGCAACTTGTAAACCAGAGGGATGCTCAGCAGAGAGGATGGAGAGGAGATACAGATGGGAGGGGGTCAGAGGGTGAGTGCATCAAAAGGGAAGAGAGGTCAGTGGGTGAGACATGCCATTAGGAAAACTGTGAACTGGACATTTGGATGAAGGACACAAGTCTTAGCCACAAGAGGTGACAAATTCTTACATGAGTTTAAAACATTGAAGTTCAAATTAGTACAACTCTCTATTGCTTGTAATACAAAAGAGAAACGCCAGGCAGTTGATAGTAAGTAGGGTCAAATTAAGTAAAGTTGTAGTGCAGGCACTAAGATCAACAATTAATAAATTGAACCTTAGGAAACTGAGAAGTTCCTGTAAGACACCATCAATCAGACAAAGAGGCAGCCTACAATTGGGAAATGATTTTTACCAATTCTACATCTGATAGAGACCAAATGTCCAAAATATGTAAAGAACTCAAGAAATTAGATATCAAAAAACAAATAATCCAACTAAAAATGGGTACAAACCTAAACAGAATTCTCAATAGAGGAATCTAAAATGACTGAGAAACACTTAAAGAAGTGCTCAGAGAGGCTGGAGAGATGGCTCAGTGGTTAAGAGCACTGACTGCTCTTCCAGAGGTTCTGAGTTCAATTCCCAGCAACCACATGGTGGCTCACAACCATCCGTTATGAGATCTGGTGCCCTCTTCTGGCATGCAGGGATACAGGCAGGCAGAACACCGTATACATATTAAATAAATAAATCTTTAAAAAAAAAAAGAATTTCTAAAACAACAACAACAACAACAACAAGAAGTGTTCAGCATCCTTAGCCATCAGGGAAATGCAAATCAAAATAACTCTGAGATTCCATCTTATATCTGTCAGAAAAGCTAAGATCAATAAAACAAGTGACAGCTCATGCTGGAGAGGATATGGAGCAAGGGGAACACTGCACCATTTCTGGTGAGAGTGCAAAGTTACACAGTCGCTACGGAAATCAGTATGGTGGTTCCTCAAAAAATTGGGAATCAGTCTTCCTCAAGACCCAGAGCTATCCCATTCTTGGGCATATACACAAAGGACACTTGTTCAACTATGTTCATAGCATCATTGTTTGTAATAGCCAGAAACTGGAAACAACCTAGATGTCCCTCAACCAAATGAAGAATGGATTTACACAATGGAGTACTACTCAGCTGTTAAAAAATGACATCATGAAGTTTGCAGGCAAATGAATGCAACTAGAAAAAAGTCATTCTGAATGAGGTAACCCAGACCCAGAAAGGCAAATATGGTATGCATTCACTTATAAGTAGATATTAGCTGTTAAGTAAATGATAACCAAGCTGCAGTCCACAGACCCAGAAAGGTTAGGTAAAATAGGAGGGTTCTAGGGGAGCACATGGATCTCCCTGGGAAGGGGAAATAACAGATCTTGCAGGTGGACTGAGGCAGGTGGGAACAGAAGTGCGGGGGAGTGGGGGGGGGGTGGAGGGAGAGTGTGCAGGGAGAGACAGCTGGAATTGGGAGGCATATCGGGGCTATGTGGTAACATAGTGCAGTGGAAAGTTTTTGAAATCTGAGTGGGTGGCCCTAGTGAGTACTCACAGTGATGGTGGGTACAGAGTCTGGACTGACAATCTTTTGTAGTCAGGCAGGGAAGGCTTCCGGTGATGGGACTGGGTTGCATGCAGTTCAACTATTGGCTGAGAGGGTCCCATGGAGATCTCTGTCGTAGCAGGCTGATGCTAGGACAGAGGGTTGCTTTCTGAAATCTGACAGTGGGGGTTGGGGGTGGGGACATTGCCAAGGATAACTTCCACACAGCTAGTTGAATGTAGAGAGGTCAAGCTGGTGTCTGCATGGAGCCTTCACCCTATAGTCTAGTCTCTTAGTGTGAGAAGGTTCTCTGCAGGCTATGGAAAGAGAAACCTGGGCACCAACCCAGACACAAAACCCTTGACCAATCTGTCCTGCCTGCAAGATGTGCTGGGGCAATGGTGGCTCAGAACTTGTGGGAGTAGCCAACTAATATCTGCTTTAACTCAAAGCCCATGCCACAAGAGGGAACCCATGCCCTATACTGCCTGGATGGCCAGAAACTGGATAGCCCAGAGTCCTAGAATAGAGCCAAACACACCTGGCAAAAAAGGAAAGAAAAAAGAAATGATTCCTAATGATATTCTGCTGTACTCATGGATCAGGGCCTAGTCCAGTCATCATCAGAGAGACTTTTTCAGGCAGCAGATGTGTGCGGATGCAGAAATCCACAGCTGGACATGATGCAAAGAGAGTCTAAATTGGAGGTGTCCGATTAGGGAACCTCGAAGAGGAGGGGGAGGAAAGATTGTAGGAGTCAGAGGAGATGGAGGGTACCAGAAGACCATGACCGACTGAATCAACTAAGCAGGGCTCACATGGGCTCACAGAGACTGAAGAGGGCTGAATGGGTCTACACCAGGCCCAAGTGTTTTGTGGGACTCCTAACAATAGGAATGGGTGTATCTCTGACTCATTTGTCTGCTCTTGGGACTCTTTTTCCCTTATGGGGTTGCCTTATCCAGCCTTGATAATTAGGGCTCTTGCCTTGTCTTACTGTATCTTGCTTTGTGCTGTTTGAAGGTTGGTTATCTCTTGGTGGCCTACTCTTTTCTGAAGAATTAACAGAAAGGGAGTGGATCTTGGGGGGGGGAGGGGAAGGTTGGGAGGAGAGGACGGAGGGGAAACTGGTCAGGATGTATTGTGCGAGGAAAGAATCTATTTCCAATTAAAAAAGAAAGTTAAGTTGTGTTTATTTTTTATTTTATTTATTTTTTAAAAGATTTTATTTATTTATCATGTATACACCATTCTGCTTCCATGTATATCTGCACACCAGAAGAGGGCACCAGGTCTCATTACAGATAGTTGTGAGCCACCACGTGGTTGCTGGGAATTGAACTCAGGTCCTATGGAAGAGCAGCCAGTGCTCTTAGCCTTGGAGCCATCTCTCCAGCCCCTTGTGTTTATTTTTAATGAGACAGCAGCATGTCTGTATTCTTATAGGATCGTTCCTATCTGCTGCACTGGGTGCTGCATGTCCTCATTGGAGCACTGGGTGGCAGAAGTCCTCTCTGGCAAACTGGTCCACCAAGAGAGCATGGTTATAGAGCATGTAGCCCCACCCTTACAGTAGCACTGTCTGGTACCATGCTGCTACTTGCTTGCCCTTCTCACTACTCTGCGCATTCCAGAGCAGAGATTTTTGTGATCCTCAGTACCGTAAGAATGGGTGGGAAAGGGAGACAGCAGCTGATCCTGTCCTTTGTGGTCCCAACTACTGTGTGATTCACAACTATCCCTTCTACTTCCCAAGAGTAGCATGTCCAGATGTGGCCAGCCGGTATAGCTAAGGGATACAATCCAGGGAGAAGAGGATGGATGAGAATGGGGCTGTAATGCCATGGGCTGTGGCCATAGATGAGGCACAGCACTGGTTCCTACCCGCTCAGTTTTGGCAGAGTACATCAGCTCCTGGGAAGGAGAATGGGAATGGTTTAGTGCCAAAGCCCTGCAGATGTTTGGCTGCAGTGTGATAGGATGATCCCACTGGGGCACCAGCTGGAAGAAAGACAGTGAGGAGGGGGGCAGGGAGAGAACAAAGGTCTGCAGGGAAGGCATCTGAGAAACAGAGCAGGAGACAAGTTCCTCGACACCCTGTCATGTCCAATAATACCAGGAGAGACCAGGAGGTGGCAGTCCACGTGAAGTGCGAAACACTGGGGTAAAGATTTTCTATGTGAATTTGGCAAAGTTGTCCATACTTCCTAACCATGGCAGTTTGCCCCTTGGTCACCAGACAACTCTTTTCTGCAACTGAAAGAAAGATGCTCAGGGCTAGAGAGATGGCTAAGTCAGTGAAGTGCCTGCTTTGCCATGCGGACAGAAGTTTGATCCCCAGAACCAATCTAAAAAAAATATCTGGGTGTGGGGGCATGCACTTGAAATCTTAGTGTTGAAGGTACGGAAACAGGCAGGTCCCTGGGGCCTGTTGGTCAGCAATCTTAGCATACTTAGTGAGTTCCAGGTCAGTAAGAGACTCTGTCTCAAAAACCAAGGTAGACAGCTTCGAGGAACAACACCCAAGACTGAACTACACATGCACACAAAGACTTATGAGCATAATTCATGTAAATACACACACACACACACACACACACACACACACACACACACACACACACACAGAGTGGGCATTGGAAATCAGGGCAGCATTCACCAGTCATGGTAGCTTCCTGAGTGTGGTGTGGTACAAGGCACAGTGTCACTCAAAAACAAACTTAATACTTTAAGAAACAAGTGGTTGCCGAGCAGTAGTGGCACACGCCTTTAGTCCCAGCACTTGGGAGGCAGAGGCAGGTGGATCTCTGTGAGTTCGAGACCAGCCTGGTCTTCAGAGTGAGTTCCAGGACAGCTAAGAATACACAAAGAAACCCTGTCTTGAAAAACAAAACAAAAGAAAAAGAAAGAAACAAGTGGCAAGCTGGGCATAGTGGCTCACGCCTTTAATCCCACCATTAAGGAGGCAGAGGCAGGAAGATCTCTGAATTTGAGGCCAGCCTGGTCTACAGAGTTCCAAGACAGCCAGGGATACACATAGAGACCCTGCAAGAAAGAAAGAGAGAGAAAGAGAAAAAAAGAGGGGAAGTGACAAAACAAAACATTGGTTTTCACTATGGTCGCCCAAACAAGAAGAATCTCACCGGATGGGTTTACTTGTTCCTTCTGGGCCATCCATCTCATATGAGAAAACATTGTCCCATCTAAACATCAGGTCCCAGTCAAAAGCTCCTCTTACGAGAGGTGCCGCAGTATAGTCCAGTGTTGTGTCGTCAATGACATCGATCATAGGGCACACGACCATTTTGTGGTCCTTAGCAATGGCATGCAGCAAGGGCTCCAGCCAGACTCTATTCACCTCACAGTGGCTATCCAAGAACACCAAGATGTCCCCTATAAAGGCAAGAGCAGACTAAAGTTGGCCCTTATCTTAGTTAGGGATGAAATACCATGGCTAAAAGCAACTTGGAGAGGGAAGGGTTTATTTGGTTTGTACTTGCACATCACAGTCCATTGTTGAAGGAAGTCAGGACAGGAAACTAGACATAGGAGTGCTACTTACTGGCTTGTTTCTCATGGCTTGTTCAGCCTGCTCTCCTTTAGAACCCATGTCCACCATGGGTTCAGAGGTCATGCCATTCACAATGGGCTAAGCCCTCCCACATCAATCACTAATTAAGAAAATGCTCTACAGGATTGCCTATAGCCCTCATGGAGGCATTTTCCCAATTGAGGCTCCCTCCTCTCTGAAGACTCTAGCTTGTTTCAAGTTGGCATAAAACTAGCTATCACAGTCCCCTAAAGGATATTCAGTCCAAATGCAAGCTGGCTGCAATGAGTATTCATTGACTATTTACTATGTGCTTGGTTCTTCAGTTGCATTGGGGGAAATTAGAAATACTTGTTTTATTGTGTCCAAAAATTACACAGAACCCATGTGCTGTGAGTATTGATGGGGGTTAAAGAGCTTCGGGTTACAGGATGGTTTGGAGAAAACTCTAGTGAAGTAGAGAAAACTGAGAAGAGCTTTCATTTTCAAAAATCATTTCTGGAGACTGGAGAGGGGGCTCAGTCATTAAAGTGCTTCCCTTACCAGCATGAGAACCTAAGTTCAATCCTTATAACA